TTCTTTCTTTCTTTCTTTCTTTCTTTCTTTCTTTCTTTCTTTCTTTCTTTCTTTCTTTCTCTCTCTCTCTCTCTCTCTCTCTCTCTCTCTCTCTCTTTCTTTCTTTCGTTCTTTCTTTCTTTTAAACCAGAGCATTTGTTTTATGGCTGATTGAAATCCTCAAGATGAACTAGATGCTGCAACAGCTGGCCTCTAGGGTTTAGGTGTTGTTCCTTAGCAGAATCCATGCTTGAATCCAGGATAAACAATTTTTCGATGCCTCTTCCGCCCAGTCCCGGTAGTGTTTTGTCTCTTAGCCTTGGCACTCTGGTTCTCCTTCCCCTTGCCCTTGGCAGAGTAGCCACATTTGCCACAGGTCAACTTCCGAAGGCGGTAGGCCTTAGAGCCCCAGCGGCGGCACAACCCATGCGTCTTATTGCGACACTTTCCAAAGGATGACGTTCCTTTCATCATCTTGCTTCTGCCGCCGAGGCCAAAGAGACCAGAAGAGCTGTCTTTCCAATTTCTATATGACTAATAGTATTTTGCATATGAAATATAAAGTAAAATGTGTAGCATTACAGATTACACACTTTATTTAAAAACCATTTCAGTATGACAGCCTGTTGGACTTCATAACCTGTTTGTATTACTATCACTGATGTGTTTATTAGGGTGCCTACATGATCATTTTATCATTAATTGTACATAAAAACAAAGGTAGTTAAGATTATCCAAAATCTAAGGTTGAAGCAAAATTAAGTTGTCAATATGAAAAGAACGTCAGAACTCCAGATGAAGTTTATAATGGCCACTATGTGTGTTTGATGCTGTGTGTACATGTGCAGGCTAACTTGTGATGAAAAGAGGCTAGGTAGATTAAAACACCAAAACCCCATTGTATGAAAGCTCAATACAGGCTCATGTTATTTTCTCCCTGGAGTATATCTTACTTAATTTAAATGATTCTGTCCAAACAGAAGCCAACACTATTTTCAATGACATCATGCCAGGATTCACACTAAAGTCAGGACGCACCCCACTCAAAGATGTCCACCCACTACTGCCCTTTGAAGGATGGGTCTGTGCACCATACACCATGGCTGGAACCGGAAAGATCTTGTCTCGGTCATGCTCTCAGAGAATCCCAGGCAAACCAACCTGAAAACCCAAAATCTCCATTTTTGTTTTAAAGAGAACTCTCCACAATACTGTTGTATTTTTCACATTTACTGTTTCTTTTTAAATAACAAATGTTCTAGGTCACATTATATATGAACTATAAGAAAATTTTGCTTTTATTTTGTACAATAATAACCAGTTTTGTTCACAGTGCTTTTCTTATAGAAAAAAAAAAAAGGCTGTTGTTTTCACAAGAAAGACTAAAGTTTGACATTTTCACAGGAGCCACAAGCCACATTTTATTTCCAATCTGGGTGTCCTCTACTGCTCTGGTGCCTTGTGGCTGTGTTACCACCTGTTTTTCTTGGCATCTGATGGCAACAGAGCAGTGAGGTCCCTGAAAGTCAAAGCGCTTTCTGGGGTTCGTGCCAGAGCAAAGTGCCGCGCATTTCTCAAGACACCTCCCTGCCCAGCACCTGACTTTGTTCTAGAACTTTGCTACAGGGACGCCTGGCAGCCCCACGCAAACCCACACTAAAATCAGCCTCTGCTCTATGCTTTACTGCTGCCACCTTCTCTCCGTTTCCGTAATTACCTCTGAATTTAACATGCAGTCATTAATGGCAATGCCTATGAGTAGTACGAGGTCATATTTCCCTTCCTTGATTGGACCAGTGCACCTGCCAGTCCACCCTGCATTTTCAACAAGTGCCATCTTAAGAGTAGCAAACTTTCTCTTATCTGACCCTAGCTTCCTCTGGCTTCCCCTATTCTAGAGTTTTGCTGAGGTATTTTTCTGCTTTCCTGCAGTTTTGAAGGAGATAATAAGTTCCAAAATTCACCAGCCTTTCGCTGAAAGAAGCTTCTCACGGTGGTTGGTAGCTAATGAAGGCCCCTTTAGTTTATCTTCATCAATTGTCAAATATTTGAGTCCGTGAAGTGGTGTGGTGAGGTACAAAGACAGATATTTGAAGGGATTTTAACTCATTTGAGCAATTACATGCTTAACTGCCCTGCGATAATCTGTCAGACTGAGTCTTTTCTACACAGCACAAGTGCGGAGCGTTAGAATAGCTGGATTTAGAACATAAAGGCTTAGTCTGAATGGAAGAAAGGCACCAGAGAGATTAATTGCCAGTAACAAACAGCAGGGCTGCTTGCAAGTTATATATCACGTAGTTACCTACCAGCAGCGAGGGGGGCCAGCTCACAGGGAGCAGCCCCGGTTAGGACAAAACAGTCATTGCACAGAATACTGAGCACAGCCACCAATTTGCAAAGACATAGAGGAGGCCAGTTTTGTTTTTTTAATATGTGGGTCTACACTGTGCAAAGAATTCACACGCACATACTTGTGATAGTGAAAAAATAGCAGCCAATACCAGCAAACCATGAGTTTAAAACCTAAATCTCATCATTTGCACAACCAATGGATTCTTGTCATCATAGTCCCACTTTTTAATAGTGTGATCTATTCAAGTATTAGAAATTCAAACAAATGTAAGGAACAGCATGCTCAAATAACTTTGGGGGTGAGGGGAGGGAAGTACTCCTTGATCTCAAACTAACACAGGGTGAGAGTCTTCAAGGCAGTGTGATGCTGCCATGAAGGACAGAAATGGAGATTCAGTAGAAGAAGATACAATTCTTCCATTAACTACTTCACAAATGCATTTCCAGACATTAAAACCAGTTCTCAGAGAGCTAATATTCAAGTAATGGGTCATGTCACTGGTGAAACCATACTTACTAAAGGCTGTTTGTGCCTGTCTTTCTGGATTGCTGTTTTTATTGTTTTACTTTTCCCTGGGGGGACAGGTAAGTACCTCACCGTGTTGGTGCATTTGTAAGAGGTGCTATGGCTCAGGATGTTTTAGCTCATCCACTTGTCCAGTCATTGGTTCCTTTGTTCAACGTTTCCCAAGCATCCCCTGAAAAGCATTAAGAGGAAGGACAGAGTGTGCATAGCTGGAGGAGGATCAGTGAGAAAAATAAAGGAGGTGGCATTTCAGGAGCCATAAAAATCTTGACAGGATACTCATGTAGGTGAGCCTAGGATCATACAGAAGAATGAAAGCAGACTATGGTGAATGGCGAACTACGACCAGAGGCTATGGCTAACACCAGAAATTCATGTCTTTCGAAATTCATGTCTGTATGTAACTGTAATGATATCAAGAGATGGAAACACCCAGAGTACCAATAGACAATAGGATAGCTATTGGACAAAGGAATTCCTAGTTTCATAAGTGACTGAAGTGCTTGAAGGCAATTACGTTAGGGTAGCTAACAGACTGAGTTAGCTATCCAAGAAGTAAGTTACGAAAGTAGAAAGTCTTTCTCTCTCTCTCTCTCTCTCTCTCTCTCTCTCTCTCTCTCTCTCTCCTTCTCTTGCTTCTTCCTCTGCCTCATGCACAGCTTTCTGCCATATCATAACAACATGAAGACCCCTGCCAGATGTAACTTCACAGATCATGATTTTCCGAGTATATAGAACAAACTTAAATAGTTTTAAAATAACCTTGCCTGTGGAATTATGTCTAAGCTGCACAAACTGGATGAAGACACAAATAATAGGAATCTTCTCTAGGAGACCACATAGCAGAAACATGGTGGCAAAAGTGCATTAGGGCAGACTGGAGGGTCTCTAACATATAAAAGATGTTAGACTTAGCTTAGGGCCTATGCTACAACTAAGTATTTGTCTAAAGCAGATGTCTGTGAATACTAAGGCTAGAAACTTGGCAGATACTGTGTAATAAAAATAGACTGGGAGATAGTAGCCAGTAGAAGGCTTCCACAAGTAGAAAAAAAGAATTAGGACAAGGTTGCCCAATAAGGTGCTCATTGTCCATCAGAAACACAAGGCCAGTGTTAGCCGCTCTGGATTAAAGAGGAGAGCAGACCTTTAAAATTGCCAAGGCAGAAGACCCAGATGCTGAGTTATCTGAACAGGCCTGGTTGTTTGATACCATAAGTCACAGGTGGTTAAGAGAATATACAGAAAAAGGAGAATAAAGCGGGCTAAGACCATTCCCAGGAAGCATGAGACCTACATGAAGGAGGAGGCACAATTTCTCCTGGGATTTTTTGCCTATGCAAACCTTTTGGTAAGGACTCTCATCCCATTCATTACCCACATGCAACATGTATGAGCCTTCTTTATTCTATCCCAGAGTGTGATCGTCATACTCAGGTCTAGTCTAGCTACAAAGATACAGCTAAGAGGTGAAGGAAGGAAGAATGCATACAAGTGTGTGCTCTCAGGCCGTCTGTCAGACTCTTGGTAATATTAGCCCAGAAACGGGGCTTGTTTCTCTGACATATCTCTTTTAGATATAAAAATGGATGTATAAAAAGTATGCTTTCCAGTAACACAGATAATTTTCCAGAGAATGATGCAAAATAGATATGTATAAGGACCTACTGTTCCTAAGCTAGATGTGGTCAGATGCCTGTGATTCCAGCATGAGAAAAATCTAGGGTAGGAAGTTGGAGACAGCAGTCTGGGATACAGTAAAAGACCTTCTCTCAAGATGAAACCAAAATTTAAAAACCATAATTAATTGACATTCTATTAATTCCAATGAGTCATGAACATTTTTCACATTCAGTGAATCTATTTGTTGGTGTGTGGCGTGTGTTAAAAAAAAATCAACAGTAATTTCTGCATTCACAATACAGAATTAAATTGGGAAGAAATTAAAACCAGAAATTGGGAGTGTAAAATTGTTTTCTAACATTATATTACTAGGCAGCCCCCAGTATCTATAGAAGGAGTCTAGATGAACTAGGACTTTGTAGCCAGAAAGTTTCAGTTTGCAAGGAATGAATGACAAGTCTACACGAAAAGGGGAAAACCCTACAGAGAAATCAAGTATGATATGGAAAAAGAACACCCAAAGACTTGCTGGGAAATCTCAGCTTAAATTGGTACTCTCTAATTTATCATACACCTGAACTTCCTGAACAATGACTCTTCCCCCCCCCCCCCCTGAGAGGTATGGTTCTTGAGAAAGAGATGGAAAGTGGGGTTGTCTTTCTCTCGTCTTTTCTCGTAGCACAGTCTGCTATGAGAAAAGACAAGTACAATGGTATGTGCTGGAATCAATGTTCATGAGGTCTTTGGGGCTGTCACCAAGGACTGTGGCCTTTTTTCCCATGATCCTTAGTACACTGTCAGGCCAAAGGGTACAACCAAACCCCTTGTGTAGAAATTAAAAAGAACAAACTAAGGAAGGTCCTTGTTATTTAATGGAATCCCACATTTTAAGAGGCCATGCATGTGGCACTTGGTTCTAAACACCAAAGAACTGCTTAGAGCCACCTAGCTCGACCCAGCAGGTACCCAC